GCTGGGGAGCATCACACGAATGGGGTGCTTAGAGGAGACTTGCTTTGATCACAGTCTCAAGTTTTCAAGGCTAGGGTGTCAGGGTAGAATGGGAAACAGGGATCAGCTTCTTAAAGGGAAAGAAGGGTTTGTTTCTGCTCTTAAGAGTGGCTCCAGGGCTGGGATGTAGTTTAGTGGGAGAGCATTTACTTAGCATGTACGTAGCCCTGTTTTGATTCCTGAGCACTACAATTAAAACAAAACAAAACAAAACAAAACCAAAGCCAAACAAAATATAACGAAACAAAAGGTGTCTTGAGGCAACGGGGAGAGGAGCAGAAGGACAAGAGCAAGAGTTGAGGAGCTTGTCATTATTTTTCCTGAAAGGGAGAGGTTAGGCCTCAGAATTCTGGCTTCCATGATAAGGGATTTCTGAGTCACACAGAGCAGGGGTATCTGAGCATGGTGGTAAATACTATAGTCTTAGGAGGCTGAGGCAGGAGGATTGCTTAAGCCCAGGAGCTCAAGTCAGCCTGGGTAACATAGTGAAACTGTCTGAAAAACGCATGCATACATACATACATACATGCATACGTACATACTTTGATGAAACAATGCACAGTGATGGGGATGGGTGGAAGATGAGGGGAAATCAGACTCTCTCTGTACCTCTGATAGGCTCTGAGGTGGAATTTGTAGAACTGGGGACCCCTGTCCAGGGTTGACACAGCGGTGAGGACCTCACTGGATGGCTGTGTCACAGTGGGTGACAGAACCGTGCCTGGATAGTGGCGTGCATTTGGCCTAGGAAGGGTCTGGGAGGAAGTCAGGGCAAGAGAAAGTTTCACGGTCTTTTCCCTTCACTCGTATACTTCTCTCACAATCAGCTGCTTCCGAAACCACATCCTTCCCTTGTGCTGCCAATGAGAGGTGAGGACCACAGTCCTGGACAATCCCACGTGGGGTTTAGAGTGTACATTCACACCATTTCCTGTCATTGGGAGAAACACCATTGTCTGGAGACTCAAGTCATCACATTTCTTGCTCTTGCCTCAGTTTTCTTGAATCACGAGATCATTTGCATCTGTTATGAAAGAAGAGAAATACAGAAAATACCTCTTTACTGTAATCTACCAAGGACACGGTCTGTGCAGCCAATGCTGGGCCTGTGTGCTGGGTGGGGCCCCCCAAAGCTGCCACGTGCTTCTCAGCACTCATCTCTGATTGCCTGGGTCACCCTGTTTTTTAAGAGACGCTGGAGATCTGAATTGGAAAAATTCAGCACAAAACTGGCTCACACTCTCTTAAAAACATAGCACAGGACAAACAAAACAGGACTTGGCTTGAAGGCAAGTGGGCTAGTAACTTCTCAGTTACCTGTGCTCTGAAAAAATAAGTCTCTCCTAGGCATTTCACCCCTAGGTTTTCTTCCTTCAAACTCATAGCCTTGGCCTAACTATAAGACAGCATCAGCAATTCTAAGACATCCTACAAAATATCTGACCCCAATTCAAGATTGTGAAGGTCATGGCAAATGAGAAAAGATCGAAACGATGTCAGAGATCCAAGGCAGACACATGATGATTAAAATGCAGTATGGGATCCAGGATGGGATTCTGGAAAGGTTGGTGAAGTCTAAGGAGCATCTGGAGTTTGGCTGGTGGTTCTGTGCCAGTATCTGTTTCTTCATTTTGCCAAATGTAGCATGGTAACAAAGGAGGCTAACGTTAGTGGGGACTGGGTGAGAGTCATATCGAAACTCTCTGTAGTGTATTTGTAACATTTCGTTAATTCACATTATCCCCAAATTTAAAAAAGAAGAAAAAAACCGCTCTCAAGGCTGAGGTAAACTTTGGTTTCTGTGGTATGAAAATGAAGCCAGGTTTCCAATATCAAAACAAACGCCATCTCTCTATTGTCTTTCTAACAATCTATGGGGCATCCATATCTATCAGTGAGTTCTGTGGTCACCTCATTGGGATGAAATGGTACCAGAAACTCCTAAAGTGGGCCCGTGGGTTAGCCCAAAGCATGCAGGTGGTCATGCAACTCTCCTGTGCAAAATGGTGTCTTCCTCTTAGTAAAGGACAGTGCCTAGTGCACTCTCACTCACTGCCCTACAGTAGCTGGGCTGAGTTTGAAATTCACAGGCAGCTTTTAGGCACAGACCAAGGACTGACATTCTGCCTAAAAGTGCGGTGGTTGGACCTGCCAGGCTGTGAGATCATTTTCCAAGTGGCTTTGTGTCTCAGGGCCCAAGAAAACCCTCTCCTTTCCAAGAAAACATTCCTGGTGTGCAGAAAATTGGTGAGGCAGAGAGGGCAGAAGGGAGCCGTCAAAGGAAAAGAAGGGGCCAGCAAGGAAGCAAGAACACTTCCCATCGATTTTCGTCTCTTTGGAAGAGTTAAATTTCTCCAAATTTGTGTTCGGTTCAACTCCACAGGAATCTTAACGCTCTGCAGGATTCCCAGGCAATTATTCCTCCTTGCAAGGCAGAGCCTCTCTTCAATCAAGCGGCTGCAAATCAAAGATAGCTTGGACTCATTCCACTAATAGCATGGAAAGCTATTAACTGAAGTTGTTTGAAAAGGGAAATGGCTCAAATATCTCTGGTCTCACAAGCAAAGCTCCTGCAATGTCAGATTACGGTTACTGAAAGACCTAGTGGAGTGAGGAGTCACATTTCTCCTAATGAGAGGTTATTTATTACCCACTGAACCAACACACTCTCCCTTGCTCACTTGCACAAGATAAGATGATGAGTCTTTTTAAGTCGAAGGAAAAATATCACACTTGTTCCCAGCTAATGCTTGGTTTTGGGCTCTGGTTGTAGAGGTGGGAGGGTGGATGGCTTCCTCTGCAAGGAAGTCTCTAAGGGACTCTGCAAGACATTCCTTATCCCAGCCTTTAATGCTTGAAGTTGAGCTTATTAAGAACATTCCTGTGGTCAAGGCAGTTTCCAAGATAGCCTCTATGAAAATGTCAAGAATCTAAGGTGTTCGCCTTCATTAACCCAAACAGCAGCAGTTCCTTGAGGAACTGCTTCTCCTCAGGACCTTCATTGTGTTCTGAGGGGCTGCCAGTCCCAGAGCTCTGCTCTCTTGCCTATGGGGTGGGCCTGAATACTCCCCTCTGCTCCAGTGATTGGTTCAGGGATGAGCACGTGGCAGAGTCTGGGCCAATCATAGGCCTTTCCTAGGATTGTTCCAAGACCATATGGTGGTGAGAGCAGTCTTGACTCAGGGAGGCTGAAGGGATGGGAATTTAGGACTCCAGGGGCTGTTTTCAGTCACACAGAGAACACATATCTCTGCTAGAGAGAATGAGAGAGGAGAGGAGAAAGAGGAATCCTTATGGTATCTCAGTTCTAAGAGACAAGACACATGTGGCTATTCCAGTATCCTTCTAGTAAAGCTTGTTTGTACTGGGCTTCTGCCCCTAGCAAGAAAGAATATTCAGATTAGCACACTCATCAGTATGCCTGTCTGCTGTAGCTTTCCTTGAAAACCATTCCCAGCCTCCCCAGGTCTAACCTTTTCTTTACTTCTACTTTCTTGGTCGTCTGGCCTTGGCATGTGTGGTGCAAGAGACTTCCTTGCTGGCTGCATTCATGGGAGGGGCTGCTCAGCCAAGATAGCAGAGGGAAGAAAGCTTTGTATGGGCTGAAAATGAGGCCTCAATTCCTCGCTCCTCACTTCTGCAGGCTCCTGCTGAGATAAGCCTGGGAGTAAGTCAGCCATGGCAGAATTTCCGATTGTTTCCGTTTCCACCTCAGTGGCCCACTGCCCATCCTGTGTGTCCCCACACTGAGCTTGGTTGGTGAGTGCAGGTGGTCTGCAAGGATCTGGTCCGGCAGGAAGGTGGCTGTCTGCTGAGCACAGGTGCTCTGGGGACAGGGACCTGGAGGGCCTGCTGTGAGTATGACAGGATGTTGGGTTGGAGCAGAAGCATTGAGGGTGGAGAATAATAAACTCCTTCATGGGTCTAAAGGCTTAGAGACTGAATTTCAATTATAAATAATCCCAGGATTTGTTCAAAGCTCAGTGTTATCCCCTCTTGCCTGGAGCTGGGCAGGGCAGCCCACAGGATGTTTCAGACCTGATGCCTGTGACAACCTCCTCGGCCTTTCCTGGTGTTGGAGGAGTGGTTCTGAAAACACAGTTGAAGGACATTCATCTAATTGAAATCAAAGTTACAACCACATTTACTGCCTGGGGTTTTGTGCAGGTACGTGAATAAGGAATGCTTACTGGCAATGGAGAACTTTCCATTTATAGAGAAAGCATTTACTGATCACCTAATGTATGCCCTGCGTACCAGTCCTGCACTCGGCATGTGGGTGAGAGAGGAGGGCTGGGTAAAACATGTCATCATTCTTGAGTTCCAGGTGAGTTGGGGAGGCAAACTCAAAAGTCAGATGACCAGCGCTCTGGGAGGCTGAGACAGGAGGATGGTAAGTAAGTTTGAGCCTAGCCTGTGCAATTTAGTAACTTAGAGAGACTCTGTCTCAAAATAAAGAATAGAAAAGGCCAGGGGATGTAGCTCAGTGTGAAGGTTCTGAGTTCAACCCCTAATACTGGGGCAAAAAAAAAAGAGTCAGGTGAGATTCTAGAATCCAGGCATTGTTCAATGCTCTAGAATGGGCCACTGAGGAGAGAAGAGGCCTCGAGGAAGTACTTTTGAGCTGGTTCTTACAAGAGGAAGGAGAGAACTAGACAAGAAGACAGAATTCTAAGTCCTGGTGAAAAGATTCAAGAAGCAAATGAGGACTCCAAGTTGGGCACAAAAGAGCCATTAAAAGGAAAAGTCCCACGAGAGCCAAGGGTGTTTGGGGAGGCGAGGCCTGAGGGTGGATCTGTGTAGAACCATTGTTTGGGGACCCACGGCAAGGCCCGAGGGTGAGTCTTTTTGTGCAGAACTTCTGCTGCCACAGGCCTGAAATGGAGTTCCCTGAGAAACTGTGGGAAGCCTCACTGCTGGAGAGGGTGTGGTGGTCCCTGAAGCAAGAGGTCCTTCTCTTCTGCCCTGCGTTCCAGGACCAATCGGCTTTGCCACTCTGCAGTTAGCCATGGCCTGTGCTGAATACACTCTGATTTAAAAGGAAATACTTTCCAGGTATCAGGAAGAAGTCTCTGAAAGTTTACCATTCAGAGGTAAGTTTTAATGTAGGTAGGGAGAAGACAGGGTGGAGTTCAAAGTCATATTTGGGTACATGGTATCTTTTGTTTTCTTTTTCTTTTGTTTTTTTTTGGAGACAGGGTCTCACTATGTAGTTGAGACTGATCTGGACCTCACTATGTAGCCCAGGCTGGTCTTGAATTCACAATGATCCTCCTGACTCAGCCTCCCAAGTGCTGGGATTACAGGCATGCGCCAGCGTGCCCACCCATGGTATCCTTTCAGAACTGCACATATTGCTTTGCTGTACTTTGAGAATGCTCTGGGATATGGGGGAAGATAAAATTAGCCCTTCAAATTGTCTCTTAAATTACAGCTAAAACTAGAGAGACTTATGACAAAGTATGAGACTTATAGATAACCTCTTTCAATGAATCTAAAACCAGCAGAATCAATCACTATTTCAATTTCTAAGTGTGACTTTCTCCCCAACCTGCCCTTTCATTCTAGTGCACTCATGCTTAGATTATGCAGGCTCTAATTTCTTAAAAGTTTTGTTTATTCTTGCCTAGAGGCTGCCAAACTGCAAGCAGTCATACAAATGCAACCCGTGACACATGTGCTAGACTTCTTTTACTGGGATCCACCAGATCAGCCTTGTAAACAGCTCAAAACTGCTAAACTACCAATACAATTTCTATGTTGGATTCTGAAGTCCCCTGACCTTCTCCTTATCCTCTTTGTGGGCTATATTCATAGAAATCCTGCTGACCTTATAATTTGACCCATGCATTCATAACTGTTTCTTTGGCTTTGACTCCTTCAGACTTAAAAGCTATGCAGCTAGCACGATGACAATGCCAGGCACCTACCGAAGGCCTTTAGAGAGACCCTCTGTAGAGTAACTGACTGCTGATCACACCTACGACCCTCTTCAGCTGGAAGTAGCCCGAGTTGTCTTTGCCCTTTGCCCCCTCACAGCAGTTAGGGGTACCTCTTTGCGGGGGAATATTGCAGATAGGTAAGTTAATTAGATATCTTGTAGGCAGTTAGACAGGGCCTTCCTCAAGCAGCCAACATGGAGGACAGTCAAGACACAGTCATTGAAAGCCAGAACTGGGAAAAGAGAGAAACTACTATACCCTCGTGCTTCCATGTTCCTTTGACTTCCTGTCCACAAAAACTCCCTCTATCTGGCCCACTCATATTTGCCCCTAAATTAGAAGGGCAAAGAAAATACCCCATGTCCTCCCGAAGATGCCAGTCGAACTTTCTTAAATCTGCCCACTCTCTGCATTGCCTTTGTGTCTCTGAACTGTCCTCTCTTGTTGGAATTTACCTTTCCATTTTTCCAGCCCCACATGCCTATGGCAACTCCCTACTACACTCCGTGATCTCCTTTAATCAAAGAAAAAAAAAAAAAAAAGCTTCCCAGGGTGAGGACTGTGACCCATGTTCACAGCAATGCAGCTGAAAGTCATGGCTGTTGCCTCCTCCACCTGGGGCAGTGGGGCCCTGAGCAGGTATGTTTGCTGGGAACAATTGCCTCGTATCCTATGTTGACCTCATGATGCAAACACTCCTGTCCTTGCCAGGAGGAGAGACACAGGCTCAGCACCTTGCCTGATCTGAAGCCAGCAGGAGGCCCCACAATTTGTCTGAACATACTCCCTGTGCCCTCTTGCTAAAGCCCACAGCTGGGGTGCTCAGGTATGCTGGGACATGCTCTAAGAAGCAAATAAGGCCCTCAGGAGAGGCGCTGTGGCTGGTATTGACTGTGGTGCCCAGGGGAGCAGATGGGGAACTTGGGAATGTTTGTACTTTCTTGACATTTGGAGGTGCTGCTAGCGGGTAGGGAGATGCTGGTAACCCTGCCTCGCACAGCGTACATCATCGCACATCACAACACTGCTTCCCAGCATCCCACCATAAAGCCACGTGGTGAAAATCCCTCTGGTCATTGTGCGACCCTAAATGTGAACTCCAGTTTCCATATAAACACATCATTTTTTTCTTTTGCAGGATGATAAAATACACCTAGTTGTCCAAGAATGTGAGTACCTTGTAAACCAATGGTCTATTTTATCTTCAAGAAATAGCGTTCTGATTTTTTGCTTATTTGATTTACATGCAATTTGAGAACTACAAATTCTTGCTTTTTGTTTAAACTGCCCGCCCCCCAGCACAAATCCACGAGGGAACGAGTCTGTGTAGTAGAGGTATTTAATGTACAGCACATGTTGAATAATGTCTTGAGTGTGTGTTCATAAGGCAGAAATTTATGAAAGACCAATGATTACTTAATAGACCCCATGCCTCAAAACATTGGCTGCTTGTACTTGAATTTCTCAAACGGGAGAGTGAAGATTGATACCAAATCTGTAAAAAAAAATGTTTATGTTTGTTATGGCAGCAATGGAGGAAAATTTAAATAAGGCTTTTCTGGATTATTCAGGATATCACGTTCTGGTGATTGTGAATATACAATGTAGTGATCGTGTGTTCAGATTTGTTTATGATCATCTTGGAAACAATAGCACTAGTTTGTAATTGGCTAGTGGTAAAATAACGGGAGGAAACTTAGCTTTCAAGTACTTGGAAAGTTAATTTATCTGACAGAACTCATTTCTATAAAAACACCAGACAAAATAAACCTTACTGCGGTCTTCAGTGTAATTGCTGTGCTCCGTATGGAAGAGGAAGACACTGGACATTCCTTGAGTACCATTGGTGTTAAACTTTGCTTGTGTTAGAATAACCTTACCCCAAGATAACTGGAAGGAGTACTTTATTGAAGCCCAAGGGAAAATAGTGCCTTGGGGAATTGTGATCTGATGCATCCTTATACCTTTTCATCTAATTCCTCTCTCCTTTCTATGGCTTTGAAAGCAAAGCTCTCAATAAAGTCAATACCATACTCTGCTTTGAGGGCCTGACAGATACGTTTTTCTGATCTCAAGCTTTAGTAATATAGTTTGGAATTCGGTTCATCAAACATTAATACATATAAGTCGTGCTCTTCAAGAAAGGCAAACCACAATAGCAGCTCCCTGTGTGAACACAGACGCTTCAAACTAAAACAAGAATCCCTGTTGCCTGTGTATCAGTCAGCACTTACGAGAGAAACAGATTTAAAGCAAGATGTACAAATAGATGAGAATTTACAAGATTGGCTTAGAGTGGCCACCCACAGAGCCCGACGCGGAAGAGTGCAGGTCTGTCTGCATGCTGGAGACCCCAGGGATCCAGTGTAAGTCCCGGAGCTCAGTGTAGTGCCCTGAATGCTCCCAGATGACGAGACCAAAGGGTCTTCACCGGAAGGCTGAAAGGTCTGTGCTGTAGGCTGAACAGTCTGTGAGGGAAGCCGAGAGATGACGCCCAAGGTGAAAGTGAAGACTGGAGCTCTTCCGGAGAAACGGAAGCAGCTTCCTGCTTGGCTTCCCCTTTGTACTGTTCAGGTGCCGAGCCTCCCCAGGGCGGGTCTTCTGTCTTCAGTAACCCCCTGGGCCACACCCAGGCCTGTGCTGATCCAGTTTAGTTGGGCGTTTCTTATTCAAATTGACACAGTTAATCATCACGGCCGCCATCTAGTTTCCAAATATTTAACACGGAATTCAAGGCCCTGTAAAATTGAGCCCGGTATTAATTAGGGCAGAGATAGCAATAATTGCAGTTGAGGGGTTCCTACAAAAAATCCAAAGTACCTTATCTTACATAAGATAGACATTTACTCCTTTCTCAAGTGCCTACGTGTGAGTGGCCAGGAATGGTGAGTAACTTTGCCATCCTCTAGTTTTTTTTTTTTTTTTTTTTTTTTTTTTTTTTTT